TTCTGGCCGCCGCCCAGGTCTCTGTGCCCCGGCGCGGGGCGGCATGAGCCGGCGGCCGCAGCCTTAACGTCCCGCTCCTGCGGCCGGGTTGCGGTGACGGTGCTCGCTGCGGGGTTGGGGGCCATGAAGCCGAGCCCGGGCGGGACGGCGAGGGAGCTGGAGCCGCAAGCGCCGGCCCGGGGCGAGCCGCGCGCGGCGGAGCATGAGGGGCGCTGGCGGGAGAAGGGCGAGGCGGACACGGAGCGACAGCGCACCCGGGAGCGGCAGGAGGCCACGCTGGCGGGGCTGGCGGAGTTGGAGTACCTGCGACAGCGCCAGGAGCTGCTGGTCCGGGGCGCGCTGCGCGGCGCGGGGGGCGGCGGGGCCGCTGCGCCTCGAGCCGGGGAGCTGCCGGGGGACGCGGCGCAGCGCAGCCGCCTGGAGGAGAAGTTCTTGGAGGAGAACATCTTGTTGCTGCGGAAGCAATTGGTAGGTCGTACCCGGAGGTGGGGCACCGCTGTCCCGGGCAGGTGGCCTGGGTGAGCGCGACGGTACCTCTGGCTGGGGGACATTTCCGCGGTTCCTGGGACACCCCCTGCCCCCCGCCCGCAGCCGCCCGGACCCCTGTTCCTGTTTTTGCGGGCAGCCGACGCCCCCGCGTTTCTGGCGTGTGCCCGCTTTGTGTCAGGTGGGGGACTGGCGACCCCGCGCGAATTGCGGGGCCAGGGACGGCCGGTCTCTCCTGCTGGGCCTTTGGGATTCTTGGAGTCGCGGGCTTGTAACCGCCCATCGCTCTAGTTACACGAATGCGTGCTCTCTCCTTGAAGGGTTGCAGACCTGCCTCTGAAATCCCTTTCCATTTGGAAATCTTAGCCTCGTTTCTTCCTGTCGAGAGGGGACAAAAGCCGGGAGGGGTCCTGTGGCGGGGTTCACTGTCCAATGCTGACTTTTATGATTATAGGCTGGCGCCCGTAGGGAGCCCTGCCGCTCCCTTGGGCTCCCCTCAGCATGCCAGCTTTTGCCTGGGCTGGTGCTTCATTTCAAATAGAAGCCCTTTGTATAAGGCAGCTGAAACAGATGCAAATGATGGAAATTTGGCTGGAGAAGTGCCCCCTCTTCTCGTCTTTTCGACGTACGGCTGGCCGTGACTGGAGGTGGATGTGGGAGCCGAGAGGACCTGTTCTCAGGGAGCATTTATCTTATTGGATTCCTGTCAGTCATTCTATGCCAGCTTCATTAACAGGGAAGAAAAAGAACTTTGGAGCTTAATGTATCGATGAACAGCTTTTGACCCCGCCTCAGAATAATGGCGGCAGCTTTGTTTCTGTGACCTAAAAATTGTACTTTTTAAAACAGAAAAAGAAAATCCTTACTTAACCATGTGATACTATCTGAAACTAGACAACATTCTAGATAGTGCAATAATGAACGTAGGGATACTGTGCGGTTATTTGTCATGTGATATCGCTTTTCCAGATAATTTTTGTTTTATTTTTGGAGCATCAGAGAGCTTTTTACTTACTTAGTTCATTTTTTCCGGAAGAAACTCACTCTAGCAAAGAAACATATGGTTTCTGTCTCCAAGCTTTTTTTTTAAGATTTATTTATTTACGCATACAGAACTGGGGTACTGGCCAGAGGTGGAGAGGGGGGTGAGAGGATTCACCAGAGACAGAGTGGGAAGCAGAACAGGCAGATGGACCGAAATACACTGCAGAGGGGAGTAGTGGACAGTCAGAAGAGGTCTGCCACGCCATGTGGGTCACCTCCCTGGTGGAGGATTGAACTCCTGCTGTAGTGGCTGTGGTAGCTTCATAATGTTGTGCTTTAACCCCCTTTGCCAGTTGGGAGGACCCTGTCTCCAAGCTTTTAAAGCCAAAGGACAGATGAGAGGAGGAGATGCAAGGATGGCTGTACATGTGGTTTGTGCAATACCTCTTTTTGCATTTTCACTATGCTGCAGACCAGATTTGTAGCTAACATTGACTTCTTACTGGGTAACCTGGTCATTGGCATCTTATGCTTTGTCTTGCACAATAGCACTTTTTTTGTGTTTGTGAATCTCAAGATTGTGACTGGCACATTCCTGTTGTCCCCTTGAGGGGAGCAAGGCAGCTTGTCAGGAGAATTCCAGTCCCGTCAGTGTCTGTGGTACTATTTTCATTTGTAGACTTGGCATTCGTGATTTGAACCAGATGCCTTTTGAGTTTTTATATATTTTTTCAGCAATAGGAAGCACTAGGTGGCGGTGTGCGTTAGTGCTACAGATCTGTCACCTTTGGAAACCCGAGTTGAGTTCAAATCTTGATGGACTGTCCCTTGAGGGTTTTGGATTCTGCCTGCTCACATTATACTTGGCACTGGCTATTAGTATTAGCGTCTCACTTTCAAAGACCCTAAGACTGATTAAACTCCACAAAGCAACTAATAGAAAACAAAACTCTGCAGGATATTTGGCCAGAAAGTCTCACCTACACAAGATTATAGTGTATTTTAGGCAATCTGTTATATACTCTTTTGGCAAGTACAGTTTTTTTTTATATAAAAAAAATTGGCTGTACACAGAGTTTAAAAAAAACCCAATGATTTTTTTCTTATCCCTACCTATTAAAAGTAAGCTTAGATGTATTGAAACTAAAAGCAAGTCTTGCCTTATGAAGAAACTACCTCCACATGTGAGAAAATGTAATTACATATGGGAAATATTTGAGGTATTTTAAAATATTTTGGGTCACCCAGTAGAACTTTTGGAAGATTTAGTGAACTCTTTAGATGATAATTTGGAAAGAGTAGACTTACTGGCTCTTTGTAATGAAAATGTGTTTGTTTTTCTCTGCATTTCCTCCTAATTAGAATTGTTTGAGAAGAAGAGATGCTGGTTTATTGAATCAGTTGCAAGAACTTGACAAGCAGATAAGTGACCTGAGACTGGATGTAGAAAAGACATCTGAAGAGCACCTGGAGACAGACAGCCGGCCTAGCTCAGGTAAGTGTGGAGCCTCACGACAGAATGCTGCACCCTGAGATCCCTTCACCCTTGTGCCACCGTGCAAGTGGCAAAAGAGTTTGCTTCCAGTGCAGAACGAATCATAAAAAGCAGTCTGCTGTTTAGTTGCAGGAGAGGGAAGTAAAACCAGACAACAAAATTTTTAATAATGAGATTGATCTGACTAGGGTCCCCTGAGTTTAAAAATAAAAGCTTCTATTCAAATTTCTGGAAGAGCAGTCTTTCTTTGAAACTTGAGAAAGTCAGAATAGGGCTAGAAAATTAGTCACACTTCAACTTCCTGAGACCACTTCAAAAGTTTTTTTTTTTTTTCCTTTTAAACCATTTGGCTCCTTAAATAGATTTGTTTTTCTTTTCAAGTTATTCTTTCTGAACTGGTTATGATAAAAGTTGAGGATTTGACAGATCTATGTCTCTTTTCTTGCATATTTTAAAAGATGGGGTCAAGGAGACAGGTCAATTTGAGGGTGACAGTAACTTTGAAAAGTTCCCATAGTTGTGCGCTCTATGTTTTTTCCTAAGGGTTGCTTGAAATAAAACTATAACTTCAATACACTAAATCCAGTGAAACAAAATTGTCCACTCCTCAAGTCTCTCTTTCCTGCCCTTTTTTTTTTTTACGATTACCTCCTTTTCTTTTAAGATTGAATGTGTATTATTGCTTAGTATGATCTTAATTTCAAATGGTGTTGTTATTTGTAGGATTTTATGAGCTGAGTGATGGAGCTTCAGGATCTCTTTCCAATTCTTCGAACTCCGTCTTCAGTGAGTGTTTATCCAGTTGTCACTCCAGCACCTGTTTTTGCAGCCCCTTGGAGGCAACTTTGACTATCTCAGATGGTTGCCCCAAATCTACAGGTAAAATTTTTTAGAATTGATAATAATTTTTAACTGAAGGGGGTCAAAAACTCCAAGAGGTTCTCTAGTCTCAACCCATCTACTTACGGAAAAGCAAAACCCATAGTGTCATCAGCTTGTTGCCTTTAGTGCCATAGTTACATCTACAGCCAAGATGACCACTATTTCATCCTCTTGGCTTTCCACTTGGCTTTATATTCTGATGGTAATAAGACAGTTATTTAGGAATCTTGATGTGATATAATAGTTCTTGCGTTTTGTTTCTTAGTCTTTGCTGTTTAACTTGTTTGCACTGTCTTTCAAAAACTACTTCTTCCTTTAATCATATAAAGCAAAGGTTTACATTATGTGAAATTTGTCAGCCTAACCAAGAGTTGATTGGCACTTTTTCTTTCTTTGAGCAGGTGGGTGCATTGAAATATCCGCCCCCTCCCCCCATGCCATTGTTCTACATTTTAGGTTATCTTTGTAGTGGTCTCCAGAGAGAATCTTGCTTACTGGTGGTAACAGAAGACTTTCTGCACTTGTGCTTTGTGTTGCCCACTGAACTGGCTGCTCTATTTTCATACATTTATCTCTTGTGAATGTTCTCGATGGTTCTGCAGGGTGGAGGTGTGCTACCTCCATTTTATATGTCAAAAAGTGAGGTTTAGTGCAAAGGGGTTGTTTATGTAGCTAGTGAGTAGCTAAAGGAAGGATTTGAGTTCAGTCCTAACAGCCATGTTTTTCACTCATACAAAGAGAGTTCAGAGATGATTGTGTTCAACCTTCTTCTCATTGAACAGAGGAGGAATTTGGGCTTGTATGCCATTTGCCAGAAACTCCTCATCTATGAAGTGATAGTTGTTACTGAAACTTGGGACTCTTAGTTCAATTGTATTGTGAATTCTAAGATTAGAGAAATATGGCTATTAGAGGAGCAGTATTTTGGAGGAGCAGTCAGTGCCGCCTTTTTGGTTTGTGTGTGTTCTTTACTTGCGTATACCTGGCAATGCAAACACAGCACCAGCCAGCTGCGGCTGCTAATTGGCTAATGTCTTTGTGTTTGTATAGCGGGTGTTGTCAGCAGTAATCATTTGGGGGAAGCACAGATCTGTCTTATCTAGAGTGTCTGGGCCTCAAGTTCATTGGTAATTGCTCCCCTTCACTCTGCAGATCTAATTTCAGAGGGAAACTTTATAAACCCATTAAAGGCACTTTGTATAGGTTTCCCTTGAAGACAGGTCAGGTCCCTGTTCTCCCAAATGCCACATCCTTACATAATTGAGACAGTTGGCTGGGCCTTGGGGGCAGGGATGTCTATCTTGTTCCTTATCTCTAAACAGGGAAAGGGGACAAATGGTGAAGTATAGATAAATGTGACTTTAAGTAAGGCAAAGAAAGATAGGCCTTAGGGTAGTAGAGGAAGAGGGATGGTTAAGGGTATTAACTTGAAAGGTTTCTCATTCTTAGAACAAGCTATTATACTGAGAGTGGAGGAGGGGGTAGGGAAATGGCACTTTTTTACTTTACAATAATCTTCTTTACAAGTGATGCATATCATTTCTGGGTCTAGATTGTATTTTCCATGATACTTATAATTATCATTCAAGGTAGTTAAGATTTCCCTAAATTTATTAACATAAATATGGCACATAGTAGGTTTTCAGTATTTGAATAGATATAATGAAGGGCAAATTAAATAATTAAATACTGATATAATAACTTTCTTTAGCTGAAGGTCATTAAGAGCATTCAGTATTTGTAATACTCATCAGTTTCCTCATTAGTACCACTATTCAATTTTTTAAACTTTATCAAGAGTTCCTTAGTAAAAATATCATTTATTTGTTGGTGTCACTATTGAAAATATATGGTAATTATTATTTAAATGTGATTAGTCTCTATTAAAATTTCATAATTTCCAATGACCTTTCAGTGACATTTATATATGCACATATGTCATTAAGAAGTAGATCTAAGAAAATACAAAATGAGGAGAAAGTCCATAGAAAGCACAGTTTATCAGAAGTATTTTAAAGAGAAACCAGAAATAGAGCACAGAGAGGAGGATAATATAGAGAAAGAATGTCTCAGAAATAAGTATTTTTCTAATGATAAATGCCTATGTTATATATTTATTGAAAATTCACAAAGTAGATAACAAAGAAGAAGAAAGTAAGTATTACTTGCATTTCCACCACAGTGAGATGCTACTGTTAGCTTCTGGGTATAGCTTCCTCTCTTTTTTTCTTTGCATTTGTACTAGCTTATTAAAACTATAATCATATGCTGTCATTATAACATGATTTTCACTAAATTTCATTGCTTTCCCTATATATTACTTGATATTTGAAAGCTCTTGTTAAAGCTTTTTTTTTTTTTTTGAACTAATAATGAATTATATAGCCTTGGTTAAATTATTATGGATGTGTATTATAAAACATCTGTACTACACTGAGTTTACTACTGAAAGTCCAATTTTATCCTTCTCAATGCAGTTGTCCCTTTTTACCCAATTGACACCATCCTCCTCCCTTCTGGTAACCACTGGGATAGCCTTTGAATCTAAAAGGCTTTTATGGCTTCATTTAGTTCATTTATTTCTATTATTTCTTTATTTTCCATTTGAATAAAGTCACACATGTTTGTCTTTCTCTGTCTGACTTATTTCACTGAGCAAAATAACCTGTAGGTCCATCCATGTTGCTGCAAATGGCAGGATTTCTTTTCTCTTTGGAATCTTTTTAAAGCCTTATTTTTATTTATTTATACATGCAAGAACTGCGGTGTAAGCCAGAGGTGGAGAGGTAGTGGTGACAAGATTTACCAGAGACAATATGGAAAGCAGAACAGGCAGATCTACTGAAACACACTGCTGAGGGGAGCAGTGAGAGAGGCCGGAGAGGTCTGCCGCTCCATGTGGGTCAGCTCCCTGGCCTGCCAGGGATTGAACTCATGCTGCAGTGGCTGGAGATAGCTTAATAGCTTGATAAACTTTTTTTTTTTTAAATAACTGAGTAGTATTCTATGTTGTGACTATGTACCATCTCTTGTTATCCAATCATCTGTTGATGGACATTTAACTTGGTTGTTCTGACTTTTGTGTATTGTAAATAATGTTGTGATGAACATGGGCAGTGCGTACAGCGCTTGTAATTAGTGTTTTTGTACCTTCAACTAAATACCCAGAAGTAAGATAACTGGATCTATTTTTATTTTTTTAGTTATTTTTAATTTTTTTAAAAAAGATTTATTTATGTATACAGAACTGGGGTACAGGCCAGAGGTGCAGGGGCAGTGAGAGGATTCACCAGAGACAGAGTGGGGAGCAGAACAGGTTGACTGATGAAGAACACTGCTGAGGGGAGCAGCAGGCTGGTCAGGAGAGGTCTGCCATGCCATGTGGATCACCTCCAGGGCCGGGGATCGAACTCATGCTGAACTGGCTTTTAGCATTTTTAATGATTGAATACTTTTCTTTCAGAGAATATATCACATCATCATATCTTGCTAAACATTTGTTAAACATTTTCCTTCCTTTAGTAAGAATACTGTATGTAAAATATTAATGCATTGTGTAAAACAGTCGAATACTGTATGAATGAATACTGTAATGAAAACGGTAGACTAAACAGTGGGCTATTTTTTGATTCTGGGACATTCACTTTCTACCCATGAATTGTCCTCACAGAAGTTGCCCCGAGAGTAGCTGCTGCTGACCATTTCTTCAGAGTGTACCTTTAAATGTTTTTCAGATCTCATAGGATGGTTGGAATATAAAGAAGGCCACTGTGAAGACCAGGCCTCAGGGGCAGTTTGCTGTTCCCCTTGCACACCACAATTTAATTCCCTTGATGTCATTGCAGATGTGAATCCCAAGTACCAGTGTGATCTGGTGTCTAAAAACGGGAATGATGTGTATCGCTATCCCAGTCCACTCCATGCTGTGGCTGTGCAGAGTCCCATGTTTCTCCTTTGTCTGTCCGGCAACCCTCTGCGGGAAGAAGAGAGGCTTAATAACCATGCCAGTGACATTTGCGTGGGATCTGAGCTGGATACCATCAAGACAGACAGTTCTTTGCCATCTCCAAGCAGCTCGTGGTCTGCTCCCCATCCTTCATCTGGTAAAAAAATGGATGGCTACATTCTGAGTCTGGTGCAGAAGAAAACACACCCTGTAAGGACCAACAAACCAAGAACCAGTGTGAACGCTGACCCCACCAAGGGGCTGCTGAGGAATGGGAGCATTTGTGTCAGAGTGACTGGAGGTATTTCACAAGGCAATAACGGGAACCTTAAGAATGCTAAACAGGCGCCTTTGCCCTCTGGTGTAATCCCCTGTTTGGACAATGGGACGTTCTCCCCTCTGAAGCAGTGGTCCAAAGAGCCAAAGGCAGAACAACTGGAAAGCAAGAGGTTGCCCCTGCCAGAGGGCTGCTTGCCAGGCGCAGCCACTGAACTTCAAAGTAAGCATCTGCCCCAGAATACCAAGCCGGCCTCCCAGGAACACGCTCGGTGTCCCACCGCTGTGACAGTAGAGTCCCCTAAAGAAAGCAGTCAGGTCCCAGGTGCCTCTCCAAAGGACAGTCCTGGGAGAGCCCCTGCCGCTCCGCCGCAAGAGAACAAGGTCGTCCAGCCACTGAAGAAGATGTCACAGAAAGGCGGCCTGCAGGCTGTTCCTCTGGCGGCGCCTCCTCCTGCCCTGCTTTCTCCAGCTTTCCCCATGGAAGAGCGACCTTCCCTGGACTTCAAAAGCGAGGGCTCTTCCTCGCAAAGCCTGGAGGAACGCCATCTGGTAAAGGCGCAGTTCGTCCCAGCGGCGCAGCCGCCCGTTGGCAGGCCGCCTCGGGGTGCCCGGACGGCGGCGGTCCCGAGGAGCTCCGCCCTGAAGCACAGAGCCCAGGCCCACCACGGGCCGGACGGCGCGCTGCCCGCCGTGAGGGAGAAAACCCGGGCAGCCAGCAAGAAGTGTCGGTTCCCGGACGACGTGGATACAAATAAGAGACTCAGGAAGGCCGTCTCCAAGGGGCGGAAGGCGGGGGGCGGCCAGGCCGAGGTGGGGGTCACCACCCGGCCTCTGGGGGCCGGCCACAGGGCCGGCAGCCGGGCGCACGGCCACAGCCGGGAGGCAGTGGTGGCCAAGCCCAAGCACAAGCGAACTGACTCCCGGCGGTGGAGGTCAGCGGCAGAGGTTTCCTACGAGGAGGCCCTGAGGCGGGCGCGGCGGGCCCGGAGGGAGAATGTGGGCCTGTACTCGGCGGCCACGGTGCAGCTGCCCTACGCCAGCCCCTATGCCTACGTGGCCAGCGACTCCGAGTACTCGGCCGAGTGCGAGTCCCTCTTCCACTCCACCGTGGTGGACACCAGCGAGGACGAGCAGAGCAACTACACCACCAACTGCTTCGGGGACAGCGAGTCCAGCGTGAGCGAGGGCGAGTTTGTGGGGGAGAGCACGACCACCAGTGACTCTGAAGAAAGCGGGGGCTTGATCTGGTCCCAGTTTGTCCAGACGCTCCCCATTCAGGCGGTCACAGCCCCAGACCTTCCCAACAACGCCACAAAAACTTTTGTCAAAATCAAGGCTTCCCATAACCTCAAGAAGAAAATCCTCCGCTTCCGGTCTGGCTCTTTGAAACTGATGACGACTGTGTGAGGTCACATTATTGGTGTGGAAAGTGGTTTTTTCCTAGTTACCGAAGGTGGCATTTTTAGTGTGTCATGCGTATATGGAATGCTTTCCTTTTGTTAAGATAAAACAAGTAATTTATGTGTCATCTACATCATGTATGGACGTTAATGCCTTTAGTGGAAGGTAAAGGATGTTTTTTACACTTTAGAAGTAAATATTGAGGTCTTACTGGTGGTGATAGTGAATGAATTGTGTGGGATCAACTGATTTTTATTTAAAGTTTTCTGAATATTAAGGCACAGGGTTTCATGTTCAAGTCTTATTGTGATTAGACCTTTTGATCGGAAGGTAAGTGGGTAGATGTTTAGGACACACATTTAGTCCTAGGTTCTTTTAGAGTTCTGAGAGGGTTTTCCTGTTGAGAGGCAGCACATTTCATTGTGGGAAGTAGGTATGGAGAGGGCAGTCATCCTTTCTGTAATTTTTTATATAACCTGCATTTCTCAGATGTAGTCCCATACTGTCTAATCAAACTTTTCTGTCTACTGAGCTCAGAACTTCGAAGACCAGACCCTAAGTCCAGAGGGAGGTGACTTGGATTGGGTTGCTGGTAATATCTTAACAAAAGGACTCACTGAAGCTTTCACAACACACTTGGTGCCTAGGCTCTGGTTACAATACACGCCACGCTAGGGCTGTTTAGCTACGACTTTGTTGCCTTTCTTCTCCCTGATTTGCAGCAAACCCAACCATTGCACCCTTGGAGGGCTTGCCTTTGGGATAAAAGTTTACTCCTAGTGAAATAACCCTTAGGTGTGACTCCAAGCCCAGAATTGGTCACTGAGCATTGTGCCACCTAAGCATTGGTCTGAACATATTAGTGCAATCCATTCCAGATTGGAACATTGACCCTGTCTGGAAGGGCTTTTTTTTAAAAAAAGATTTTGGTAAGCAGTATTGTGTAAAATGGCTTTTTTTATACCAATATATGCATGTTTTGTGCATGGGTAGTATTTGTTTTGATATTCCTGTTGGTGTCAAATTACTGTATGATATAAACAATATGTGTTTTTATATATCATTGTATAAATTTAATATAACACATTATATGCTGTAATAAACAATTTGTTTTACTGCTGTTAAGTTTGTTATTTGGGTATAAAACCAGATGTTTACACCTATAAATCTCGTGCTGATTATTGTGAAATTTATAGGACTATTTTAGAGTTAAAATATTATTTGTAATTATTAAGGCAGATTTTAGGAGTTTCCTGGGAATGGATGGTGGTAAAGAAATGAAAGTAAACTATTTAAGAATAGTTAGGGCACTTACCTGAAATTTAAGGTAAATTTGATAGATATCTTCTAGGGAAAATATTTCTGAGAACTATCCTTGTCTACTTTATAGTATGAAAAATTTCTAGGTTGAAAAGGGTGCAATAGTCACTTGTATGGCCACCGCCTAGACTGATCAATTGTTAATATTTTGTCAAGCTTGCTTTAATTCTTTCTGTGTGTGTATTAGGTTAAATCAGATTGATAATTTTGTAGGTCAAAGTCAAATTTGGCAATCTTTCCTCTTCGTGTCACACAGCTATACTATTTGAAGGTGGACCTCGGACTTCATATTTTTTTTTTCTCTAAAAACTTAAGCAAGCCTTTCCTAAGAACAGAGTGATTCTCCTGTGTGACTACACAGTCATGGTCACATCTAAGGAAAACTGTGAGTGATTCTTATTATCATTAAATAGTGAATCTCTTCAAGTTTTCCAATTCACTTAAACAGTTTTTAAATTGCAGCTTCCGGGGATCTCTTTCCACCCAACCAGGAATCAGTCAGTGTTACGTATTGCATTTGGTTGTAGCTATCTAGTATTTTATTCTAGAATTGTCTCTCTACAGTAAAAAAAAGTTATTGTATTTTTAAAATCAGGACAGTTGACTTACAAAAAGGCCCACATTCTGGATTGGGTTATTTGCATACATTATCTTTTAACATCTTCTAGTCTCTTTATTTCCTGTGAATGGTGTAAAGCTTTACCATACTAAGTTTAAACATTTTTGGCAAGAAGATTTCACTAGTGACTTTGTGTACTTTTATTGTTTCATATCAAGAAACATAACAGATTGCTCTACAATTAATTTGAGACTGATCCCTTGGTTAAAGTGGTGAACAGAGATTTTCCATAATAAAAACATTTTTTTCCTTCAAATGATTATTTCTTTGGGACTATGCAGATGTATTATTCTTCAATAATCTTCCACTTAATGGTTTTAGCATCCTTGCTTGAACTAGTTAGTGTCTTGTGGGTACAAAAAAAGTAGTTTTCCTACTACTTTTATTGGTATGCTACCAAAAAAGAGCTTTCCTTACTTGTCCCTTTGCTCTCTGACTATCACATGGACTCAATGGATTTCTATTCATTTGCCATCTTATTGTCATCTTCAGTGATTATTCTTTTGATGCCTAGCATTTCCCAGATTTCATCAGTGAGATGTTCAATTTTGTTATAAGCAAACTAGAATCAACTCAGTTTAATACGGTTTTTAAAAACCTACCCAATTGAAGTTAATTTTTTCACATTCTAATTTTTTTCAAAAACATTTTAAAGGCATTTTTATTTAAGCATGCAAGAACTGGGGTGTATGCCAGAGGTGCTGGTGTGGAAGGAGGGTAAGAGGATTCACCAGAGACAGAGTGGGGAGTAGAACAGGCAGCTCCCTGGATACGGATTCAACTCTGCCACAGTGACTGGTGATAGCTTCATAATGCTGAGACAACACCTGTGCCACCAGAAAGGTCTAAGAAATCTGTTTTTTCAAGAAGATATTTTTTTTTCCAGCAAGACTTCTTTTAAGCAAGCTATCTTAGGGTTTTTATATGCCATTAATTAGTCTGCTTTGACCAGAATTTCTTTGATTTCCTGATTAAATCTAAGTGAGGGATGATTTCACCATCCTTTCTAATTCTGTGATCCCATCCCTTTTAGGGCATGGCTATAAAGTTTATTGTATAAGGCAACTGTGACCTGCAGTCAGTTCTTGAATCATCTCCAAGTGGTTCTCAATAAGCATTATTCTCGGAAGGGGACACTTTCTGAAAACCAGCTTCTGAATAATTACATTTTAGTTGACAGAATGCCAAAGGAAAAGAAGCGTGAAAAACAGGATTTTCAAAGAAACCTTGTTTGTCCTCTTAGTCTATTGCTTGACTTCCCTGTAGCTAGCAGTGGCTCTGCACTTGGAAAACTGGGTTTTGTCTAGTGTTTTCAATTACAAAACCCCCACTATTGTTGCAAACAAAAGAGCTCTTTAAAATATTTCCCTTTATTTAAAAAATTACAAGTGCTTATTGTTAGGTGAAAAAGTATATGTGAACAATATACAGGTGTTTAAACTCTCTCTCTTAACCGTCCTCAAATCCTATTCTACTGTAAATTTGGTGTATATGTTCCCATACACTTTAATTGCACATTCAAAAAATATGATCTTTATATATATTTTCTTCAAAACGAACATGCCAATTTGATTGTGTCATTCTGTAACTTGCTTACTTCATTTCATGGACCTATGTAGTGGAAATAATCCCCAGTTATTTTTAGTGGGGTTGCAAGTATTTCCTCATGAAGGAAAAAGGCACTAGATCTTATAGGCTACTTAAGTGCTCTCATTTCTGCTATTTAGCAGCAAAAGTGTGAGATTTTATACACTTGTCCACATATTGCCTTTAGATTTTTCTCATGTATTTTGCAATTTCGTATTTGTGAATTTACTTACAGTAGGCTATTACTGATGGGATTCTGTAAGGCTTGATTAAGGCTTTTGCTTATAGAGAAGATCTGTAGTTTCACTTTTTGGCCAACTTGCCTCAGGGATATCTCTAGTTTGGATTTTTTTTTTTTGTTTGTGGGCGGGGGGTGTTACCTGACTACAGAGGTAATATAAGTTCAAATCCTAAGCCCTCAGGAACATAAGAAGTGGTTACATATTCTTAGAGGAGACATTTCTGTGAAGGCAGACAAACTTTCTTATTTTCATGGATTTTTTTCCTGTGTTGACCTTTCATTGAAAGTGTAACTTCACTGACTTCAGGAATATGAGGAAGTCTCAATCCCAAATACTATCTTGGAGGGGTCAAGATTACCCAGCAAATGCAAAACCCTTTGGTAAAGAGACCAACAATGTCTCTCTCTGTTCCCCAAGGGTAGGTCAAAATTGGGTGTCTTTCTTACGAAGTCAATATACATGTAATAGCATATTTATGTAATTTCTCAAAGTTTTACTGTAAGATGATTAAATTATCTAGTCCACCATAGGCTTGGAAACAAACCATAGACCTATTTGTTCCATTTGTCAATAGGTTGGAGTTTCCTTTGCCCTCTCATTTTTCCTGGAACAATTTTGTTGAGGTATAACTGAAGTACAATAAAATGCATATATCTGGACTGTATAATATATTCACTTTTGACTTATGAGTGTAACTGTCTGAACACCACAGTCAATATAACAAGCATTTTAATTCTCAGCAATGTCCTTAGACCCTTTGTAATCCATTTCCCTACACTCCTTGTTCCAGGCCACCTGCAGTCACTTCAGTTCACTTCGTGTTTTCTAGCATTCTATATAAATGGAACTTTTTTCTTGTGCTGATCTTTCCTTGAAAGTGTAACTCTTCAAGTGAACTATACAGTATGTGTTTATTTTTAGATGAATTTTTTTTTATTCTGCCTAGAAGTTGTTAGATTCATCCATGTTATTTTATAATTTAGTAGTGCATTCCTTTTCATTGCTGAGTTTTATTCCTTTGTATGGTTAAATAATAATTTATTTCCCCATTTATTTGATGATGAACATTTTTTTTCCAGTTTGGGATTATTACAAATAAAGCTGTGAAGAACTGTTCTTTCTATAGACAGCTATCTTTGCTTTTCTTAGGAAATGCTTAGGAATGAATTGCTGGGCCTTAGAGTAGGTGTGTTTGACTTTTTGAGAAATTGCAAAATTATATTCCAAACTGGTTTTATAATTTTACATCCTTACTAAGAATATGCAAGAATTTTGGTTATTCCTTGCCCTCCATATTTCTTGCTCAATCTTTTTAATGGGAGCTGAACTAATAATGGATATTCCATGGTGCATTTTTGTGGATTTAATTTTATTCCTCTGATGATAAGTGATATTGCATCTTCTCTTTGTATGTGTGTACTTGTTGGCTATCTGTGTATCTTCTCTGGGGGAGTGTCTGTCCTTTTAAAAAACAGAGTGGTTTGTTTTTTTACATATTAAGTTGTATGAGTTCTTTATAAGTTCTATTTAGAAGGCCTTTGATGTATGTTGTAAATATTTTCTCCTACTTTGTGACTAGCCTTTTTATCTTTCTTAGTGGTGCCCTATTAAGGACAAAAGTTTTTCATTTTGATCCAATTTCTGTTTATTCTCTTATAGCTTGATTTTGATGTCTGTCAAAGAAAACTGACTTGTGATTTTCCCATCAGCTTTCTTATAGAAATTTTATGGTTTTAGGTTTACATATAAGTCAGTGACCTATTTTGAGTTAGATTCTGTATATGATGTGAAGTAAGGATACATGGCCCTTTTTTTTCCCCATACAGCTATCTAGTTGAGCTCGTGTTATTTGTTGAAATGCCTTTATTGTCTGAATTGGCAGGTTGGTCAAAAAATCCAGTTCATATAGTATGTATTTGTTTCTGGATTCTATTAATTTAAATACCTACTTTTCCACCAATACCAATTATTTTGATTTCTATAGCTTTATAGTAAATGTTGGAATTGGTAGTGTAAGTCCTCCAATTTTGCTTTTGTTTTTTCCCTTCTCAATTTCTTGTTATTTTAGGTCCTTTGTATGATCAGATAAATTCTAGGATGGTGTTACAAGTTTCTACAATTGACTTAATTTTTATTGGTATCACATGGAGTATAGATCTCACTAGACAAATGACCATCCTAATGCTGAATCTTTCAATTCATGAGTTGCTCTATCTTTCCACTTATTTAGGTTTTCTTTACTCTTCTTCAATCGTATTTTGTAGTATTTAGTGCTGAGCTCTTGGCCATCTTCTGTTTGATGTATTTTTTTTTTTTTATTTGTACATACAGAACTGGGGTACAGGCCAGAGGCTCAGGGGTGGCGAGAGGCTTCACCAGAGACAGAGTGGGGAGCAGAACAGGCAGATCGACGAAGTACACTGCTGAGGGGAGCAGTGGGCGGGTCAGGAGAGGTCTGCCACGCCATGTGGTCTCCTCCGGGGCAGGCGGGATTTGAACTCATGCGGAAGTGGCTTTAGCTTCTCAGTGCAGTGCTTCAACCCGCTGCGCCACCAGGGAGGGCCTGTTTGATGTATTTTATAACTTTGGTGAAACTGTAAGTAGAGATTTTTAAAATTTCATTTTTAAATTATTTCTAATTATCTGGTGATGGCTCATAGAATATAACTGATATTTGTATATTAACCTTGAATTCTGCCCCTTGGCTATATTAAATTTTTAGTTCTAGTAACTATTTTGTACAATTTAATATCATGTGTCTTAGAACTTTTGATAGCGTTCTGAAAACCTTGTTCCTTTATTCTCAATCCTTTCTGTGTTCTTCAGTCTGCATACTTTCTGTTGTAATCTCTGTTCTGCCTTGAGGTCATCCAGTGAATTTTTAAAAGTCCTATATTGTATTTTTCAGTTGTAAAGTTTTCAATTGATTATTTTTTTATTGTATATATATATTTTAAATTTTATAATAATTTATTTTTACACGTTTTTGTGTATTTTTTCATCTCAGTTGCAAGCCCCTAGGGTTTCCTATCACCAAATCACCCCAACTGCCTTTTTTTTAAAGTTTCCACTTCTCTTCTGATAATTCCTTTTTTATTCATTTCAATTGTATTTTCCTTTACTTTATGAAGCATAGATTTAAGTAGCTCCTTTAAAGTCTTTCTTTGATAGGCTCGACAAGTATGTCATGTTGGGGTTGGTACCTGCCAATTGCTTTTTCCTTTAGAGTTGATCACCTTTGGGGTTGGTACCTGCCAATTGCTTTTTCCTTTAGAGTTGATCACCTTTTCCTGTTCCTTTGACTTAAGGAATTTCACTGTATTCCAAATATTGTTGATGTAATATTTGATAGATTCTGGGTCCTTTCACAATCCTCAGGAGAATGCTGATGGTTTTGATCAAGCAGAACTTCCACCACTTACACTCTCATCCTTGCAGGCAGGCGGTGTGTTAAAGCTCATATAAGCTTTTGCTGTGCTGCCTTAGACCTGCCCTGAACACACGACGGTCAGTAGTTACCCTGAGGCTTGT